CAAAACAAAACAAAACAAAAAACTGTTAGAGATAGTAAACTAGTTTAGTAGGGTTACAGGGTACAGGAGCAATATCCAAAAATCAGTGAGATTCCTCTGTAGTAACAAAGAAAACACAGAAAAGGAAATTAAGAAAGTAATACTATTTACAATAACTGACCACAAATTGAGATACTTGGGAGTGAACTTAACTAGAGACACAAAAGACCTATACAAAGAAAACTAGAGAACATTTATGTGAGACACAATAAAAAAACCTAAATAAATGGAAAACTGTTCCCCTTTCAAGGATAGGAAGATTCAATATTGTGAAAATGACAATTCTACCAAAAGCAATCTACATGTTAAATGCAATATCAGTACAGATATCAAATTCCTTTTTCAAGGAGAAGCAAAGGGAAATCATCAAGTATATTTGAAGAGGAAAGAGACCCCAAATAAGCAAAATACTTCTGAAAAACAAAGATGAAGTGGGAGGCATAGCACCTCCTGACTTCAAAACCTACTACACAGCAGTAGTAACCAAAACAGCATGGTACTGGTACAGTGGCAGGTATACAATGAAACAGAATAGAGAACCCAGAAATTAACCAATCTGTCTATGATCAACTGATCCTTGACCAGGAAATAAAACTTGTCAATTGGGGAAATGACAACGTCTTCAACAAATAGTGCTGGAAAAACTGAACTGTAGAATGCTAAAACAGGATCCCCCTTTCACACTATACACAAAAAATCAACTCAGAATGCATCAGAGAACTGGGAGTAAAGGCCCAAACTACAAAGTACATAAGAGACAAATTGGGACCACACTTAGAAGGCCTAACCTATGGAATAAAGAGATTGCCAGATAAAGCCTGAAATGCACAATCTAGAAAGGATAAAATTGATGAATGGGACCTTCTAAAAATTAAATCTCTGTGCTCATCAACAACTTTCCCAACAGGGTGAAAGAAAGCTTACTGAATGAGAACAAACATTTGACAATAGCATCTCAGACTAGGGTCTCACAATAAATATTTATAAAATACTCCTTGACGTTCAGAAGAAAAAGACTAGTAGCAACAATGAATGAATTTTTTTTTTCAGCTCAAACCGCATGAAAACAATACTTTATTCACACATGAGGAATGAGCTAGTACAAAACACATGTTTCAAAAAACTCACAAAGTGATCAAAATGCTTCTCCCTCAGCCCCTAGCCCACTCTGGCAGATCTGCGTTCCCCTACCATGTGCTAACTGCACTCAACCTTTCTTGCCCCCTTGGAAGAGCTGGAACAGGGGGTCATCAGTCCTAAGGGCAATGGGCAGAGAGCGATGCTGATAGTACTTTGAGTCACATTCCAGATTTTCAATGACATCTGCCAACAGGTGTGCACGCTCCACCCCAGAGCCTGGGGCCTCGAAGCCCAGGGCAGTGAAGTGCACGTGCAGGTGAAAGTAGGAAGGCAGGTAGTGCAGGTACACCCGGAGGCAGCTCCCCTTCAGCTGGTAGCGCTGCAGAATGGCTTCCTGTCCCTCTAAGAGGATGTTCTTGAGCAGAGGCAGATGTTCCGAAGTAAGGTCTCGCAGTGACCTGACATCCCGGCGGTGGCAGATGGCAATCAGATACAGATCATCAAGCTGTTGCTGATTCCACTTGAGGTCAGGAATGAGGATAAAGCCATGAGAGGGATCTGGGTTCTCGAAAATAATACGGTCAGCTTCAGACTTCTTCTCAAGAATGTTATACACCCACTGGATGCTGAGGCTTTGGGACTGCAGATAGGGCAATGTGATGGTCCTGTAATCTTCTTCTGTCTCTCGGAATAACTGGAGCTCCTGT